CTTTAGCAAGTTTTATAGGGTATAAGGTATTAATGCATGTAGTTGAGACAAAGACAATATAAGCGACAAGATGTATAGCTTGTGATTTAGAGACGTTTTTCATAGAATCTGTCAAAAATCAAAATTAATTTTTGGAATTCGATATGTAACAGGAATTCGACAAAATCACACTGGACACTGCTTTATCTAATAAGTTTGACATAATTGTTGTTTATGTTGTGTTTTGTTCAGAAAGATAACCTTGTTCATTAATGAAAATATTTATTTTAAGTAAAAAATGTTGACTTATACCGCAGTAATACCGCATTATAGTGGCTCTAAACTCTTGTTTGTCAAAAATACTAAAATATGTTGTGAATCATTTTCATTAATTTTCAAAGAAATTAAGCCTTTTTGGTCACAAGTCTTTTAATTTCTCTTCATTTTGGGTTTTCTTACGTTGATTACGAGTTTATAAATTTTATTTATTCAATTTGAAATAACATTTTTACTTTTTCATCAATTTACTAAATTATTTATAGATAAGGCATGATAAGGTGGCATGCTAATATTTTTGCTGATATCAAATGTTTCTAAAGTAGTTCGTGTCAAAACAAAATAACATATAGTTATAACACACATTGCGATATACATATAAGTACATATGTCATACGGATTTTTCTTTTTACCATCATTGCCCATCGGTTTTGACTAGTAGCGTAATTTAGTAAAAAAAAAACAAACCTGAAAGCATATGAGCGAAAATGCAATTTCATGCTTTTCAACGGAAAAACTATGGAAAGATTATCCTTATATTTGTTATTGCATAAGCTAATGTATTCATAAAAGTTTTAAATTATAACAATTATTATATTCGGATTTCCGATCATGTTCGTACACATAGTTTCATAATTTAGGATTTGAAAATTATTAAGTAAATTAAGTCAGATAGTGTTCAAAAATTAATTATACCAACGGACGTATATTAAAATAGACGTAGACGAACAAAAACGAATTGGGAAATATTTCTGCTTGGGATTTTTAAAAAATGTCTTTTTCATAACACTTAGAAAATATTTTTACATATACCTTAAAAGATATGACAGTAACTGTCTAGTTGATATTAAAGTCAGTTGCACTGTTATATATCTTTTAGTAATTTGAGACTTCATACGAAATTTCGGAAGTTAAAATAATTTAATGAATCATACTTTATTGCATAGATATAAATGTGAGTTCTATAAATTTCCATATATTTATATGTGTATTGCATATCATTTGCTGGTTGGTAAAATCGATTTTAACTATCTGTATCGATTTTATTTGTCTGTGCCGATTATCTTTATATTATAGATATTTATACTTTTATCAAAAAAATATTGCGTTATCATTCTAGTCAATGATAATTTGAATATAAATCTTATGTTTTTTCTATTTTTTATTTAGTTAAACTTTGTTCGCTGACATAACAAGTCATTAAAATTAGTCGAGTAAAAAATTAATATTACTAATCCTACATCGAACTTATAATGAAATTTTATCAAAATTTAATACTTACAACCGTTCTCACATTAACTTTGAAACTATCAAATGGTTCGTGGAAAAAAAATTAGAATAAAACAACATTAAAGCTTAATAGGTTCTTATTATAAATAGATTCAATATTATTTTCGATGTGCAAATTTGAGTTTAATAATTAAATTTAAATAATTAAATTTTTAAAAGTTGAAAAAATTTTTTGTGAAAATGAAATTCCAAAAATTTTGAAACAAAGTGCGAAATTGTAATTTATTTTATTTTAAATAGGTTTAAATGAGGGTCAGTGGCAAGATTTACCTATATATTGCATAACATGTGACGATGAAAACACTTGTAAGAGCAACAATCCAATGTATCACCTTTGTACACTAACAACTGATTCATGTTTAACAATATTTAATGAAAATAATAAGGTTATAAAACGGGGCTGTTATTCAAAGTACATACAAAATTGTCAAAACAACTCGACAAATAAATGTTATGAATGTAAATCCAATTATTGTAACGCAGCGTCTTCTAAAGATGAATTTGTTAAATGTTATGATTGTTCCACATTTGATAATCCAAATTGTGTTGATGTAAACGATAAATCTGATGTACCAATAAAGGAATGCCGTGGATCTTGCATGTCAACACTCATATATGTTGATGATCAGAAAACAAAATTTGAGACAATTAGAAGTTGTTTAGATGACAAGGAAGAGGCAGATCGAAAAATTTGCAATAATAAAAATTTTTGTGAAGCGTGTGATAAAGATTTTTGTAATGGTGGTGTCTATCCCAGAAACCGTTTACGCTGCATTCACTGTACAGGAAAATTTTGCACTGATCCTGGTTCTGCGTATTCAGAATATTGTGTAAATACTGTAGAAAATGACAAATGTATGATTCAATATGATTTATGGACAACAACACGTAAATTCGGTTGTTTAAGTGATTTAAATAAAGAGGATGTAAATGATATGCTACTTGATAATAAATTAATAATATGTGATGGTAATAATTGTAATAAAAAGCTACCGGAAGCAGATAGATGCGCTAAGTGTACATCAATCGATACCAAGGAATGCATAACAGATGTCAACAACAGTATTATTTCAACTGTTTTATGTCATCGATTACCAAACACAAAGTGTTATACGAAAATTCATAGCTTAACAGGATCTGTTGAAAGAGGGTGTTGGGCTGACCTTGATCGAGAAGAAAGGGCAAAATGTCTGGATAAAACTAATCCAAGTTGTAAATTATGTGCGGGGACTAAATGCAATACTGATGTAAGTACATGAAAGTTTTTTTACTTTTTTTGTATTTACGAATCTGCATTTTAAATATATAAAAAATGTCATTATGAAGCGGTTATTTTAACCAGTACAATCAAAGTTTCAAGTTATCAAAATTTTAAATATTGAGTAACAATAAATAATCAATTTTTTTAGTAAGCAATGCTTGCTTAAATTACCTGCAATTCGCGAAATTTAATAACCATTGTGTAATTTTGTGTGAATACAGCAAAAAACCTTGTCAATGATTCCAAATGCACCTTAACTATGGGTTGTGTTTACCTTATGAACCTTTATGAATAAAGAAAGCGTAATGCAATAAAAGGGAAGATGTTGTAAAACATTTGCCTATCAGGTTTTGGTAGATATATTGTTTCATTTTAATTGCGTATTCAATTTTGTACTTAAAATTAAAAGCAAAATCACAAACAACCGGAAAGTAAAGTATGCTCTTTAGTCTATTAATACTAAACATAAAAGGCATTCGATTTGATTTATCTGAAGAATTATTATTATTGTATGTTAGTATGTGAAAATTCCGTGTTATAAAAACAATATTTTCAAATTTAGAAAAAGGTATAACGAATATATTTTTAATAATTATAGGATTTTTAATTATTCCAAAATGTACTTAAAAATTTAACTTAAATTCTGAACATTTACAATACTTGTACTTGTATCGAATACAACATGAACACAACTTTAGCAAGTCTGGAAAATCTATAATTAGTTTAAATTTGTAACATCCAATATCCGATATATTCCCAAATATGATTTTTTTTTTATATTTTTGCAGCTTGTAAAAAAAGTTTTAAAAATGCTACAGAACTAAGTACAGCTGTAATTTTTTAAACATACTTTTTACTTAGAAGAGATTTATTTAACACACAACATTAATTTTGTGATGTGACAAAATTCTTGGCTTGCTAGGAAATTTGGTACCTATTTTAAACCAGACATAGTTCTTTTGCACTTATAATAGTTTATTTTAGTGTAATAATGGTTATCAATGACTAATTTGCCAAGCTGATATTGATTTATAAAGGTTTCATTTTGTTAATTTTTCTTTTAGGCATTCCCAAGCGATCGCAAATCTTGTTTTTCGTGTAATTCCACAGCAGATCCGAATTGTCATCAAAGTCCAAAAACAAAAGGTTTATGCTTCAATTATAAAGAAGATGATAGATGTATTGTAAAATATATTGATGGTGTAACAATACGTGGATGTTCTTCTGATATTGGAACCTGTGAGGGTTTAGATCACTATTCATGTCAGATATGCTCCGGCGAAAATTGCAATAAGGCTAATCTTAAATTTATTTCTTTATCTAACAAAAACCTCGGTTTGTGGCAAGATTTACCATTAAAATGTAAATACTGCGCAAGTGAATATCGTTGTTCAGAATTATCAGAAATTAAAACAACAACGTGTCCAAATAATAATGATGAATGTATAACAATATTTAATGATGACAGAAAAGTGGAATATCGTGGTTGTTCATCGATACTTAATACTGAATATACCGAAAAAAATTGGAAACTGTATTGTGAAACAAACCCGGAGTTTTGCCCTCAATGTAAATCAAATGAGTGTAATATAGCAAATAGTACAAGGGATTACGTAAAATGTCATTATTGTGGTTGGCCAGATTACAAATCGTGTAATGAAATGAAGGAAGGAATTTTGTTTCCTACAAGACAATGTTATAAATCGTGTATGACAGCGGCATATAAAAAAAACCAAGATTTGGAAGATCCAGTATATAATGTTATGAGAACATGTTTGGACGATAAAGAACCGCAACAACAAATTGATTGTAAATCAAACCAAAATGAGAATTGTCAAGTTTGTGAAACAAACAATTGTAATTCAAAAATGTTATTTGGAAATTGGTCTAGTTGTCATACTTGCCAGGGTCATGAAGAATGTAAAGCACCAATACTGAAACAGTGCGAATCATATAAAAAGAACGATAATTGCTTCTATTTATATGGCGATAACAAAGAAATTATAAAAGCTGGCTGTATGAGTGAATTATCCGCAGAAGTTCGAAAGAACTTAATTATCAATAATAAAGTATCCTTTTGTAGAGGATCAAATTGCAACGAAGATCTCCCGAAAGATCAAAAGTGTGTAAAATGTGATTCAAGTAAAGATGAAAAATGCGCTACAGAACCAGAAAGTTTTAAGGAGCTCGAAGTTTGTACTTTACCAAATTCTAACTGTTATGTTAAGGTTGTTGGTAAGTATTTTTAAATATAATATTTTATTGAAAAATAACAAATTGAAAATGTTGTGACAGATGGAACTAATATTCGTGGTTGTATGAGCAATTTAGGAGAGAAAATACTTGATTGCATTGACAGTGAAGATTGCCTGTTTTGTAATTCAGATCAGTGTAATAATGTGGTAATTAAAAATCGCAAATAAATACCAAATTCTTTAAATTTAAGTAAAAATTATTTACAATAGATTTATCCACCAAATCGGCAAAAATGTTTCGTATGCGATAGTACCAATAACGAAGATTGTCATGAAAAACCTTCAACTGCAAAAGTATGCCCAGTTTATTTAAAAGATCAAAAATGCATTAGTAAGTACGACGAAGGAAAAACGGAGCGTGGTTGTAGTAATGAATTAACATGTGATGAGAAGGATGATAAAAAATGCCAAATATGTAGTGAAGAGAACTGTAACACAATCGATTTGAAGGGTCTGAATAATTCAGCCACGATAGTCGCTAATTCAATATTGATTGGTTGTTTAGTTTTATTAAGAAATTATTTGTCATAAGATGAACTGAAGAGAGTCTTGCTTGACTTGCACAATTCACAGTTTTTACATTAATTTTTTTTTGTTTATTTGTAATAGATTTATACATTGAACATAAGAGTGTGAGAATATAAGCTTTATTTTATAGTACACGGAATTTAATTTTTGTTTGAATAGGATTCCTTAACATACGTTTCTTATCCATTTAATGTACGGACTTTGCAACGAGTTATTAAAGAAGAAATATTTTATTTCTTTATTTTCAATTAATTGATTAAAATCTTTCAATATAAATCAGAACAGAAAATGTTAAGATAAATTTTTACTTACCCTGTGTGGATAGGCTAAATGCCATGTAACATTAAATGAAGATCCCGACAAAAATGATGTTCGTTGAAGACCTGAAAGTATTAGAAGAATTTTATTAAAATTACTTATTAAAAATAATAGAAATTAAAATTATTCTGGATTTTCTTCAAATATTTTTTTGTTTGGGGTTTTAGGAATAATTGTAAAACTGGTGAGTAAAGCTAATTGATATTTATTTAGATATTTATCTTATATTTAAAATATCAGGGTAACGAAAACTGAATTATTAGTCAATATGAATCATATTCAGTAAGTAACATTTTTTTGGTATACTGGGCATTCCAATAACAAATTACGCATAAATTGGTTTTTGTTTTCCAATTTCATTTGTGTTGATACGAAATATTTTAATATTAGATTAGATAAAAATTACTATATAATCTACTGATTTAATGCATGTTTAATAATCTTATCTTTTTACTTTTCCAACAAAAAAAAAACAATAAATATAATGGAGGAAATAATCCTAATTTTAATAAAACAAGTAAAAGTAATTTATTTTAGTAAATTTATTACCTTATAATAAAAAAATTATGTCATATTGTAGAGGCTCAGAGTACTTATTTTAATATACGTATCTTATATATGTATTTACGTATAATATTATGCATGTTGATATATTGTAAAATGTGACCTTCAAAGGGATGAGAAGAGCTTAGGAGAAAAATAAACGTTTGGTAGGCCTAACGAGCTATTTGAAAACTGTCTGGTGTTTAAAAAAGATAAAAAACTTTTGGGAAACTTTTATCCAGATACATTATTGAGACTGTAGAAAACTATAATAGGAACGAACTATAGATGAAAGCTTTCATGACAACAGACTAGTCAATCTCCTCAACTGAATATATTTATTTTAAATGACGAAAGTATAGTCTTGTATTGCAAATTCTGTTATATAATCTTAATATAATTTCTCAGAAAGTATAAAAAGAGTTTTGATTAACAGAAAATGTGTCTTTCTGAATGCGGAACAACTTTAAATTGTCGAATTCTGATAAAAAATTCGAATTTATTAGGAGGATATAATTTGGTTTATAAAATTTCGATGAATTCCGACTAAATTTTAAACGTAAAATACTCATAAATTTAAAGTAGCTATCTTTGTAATAAATTTTAAAAATATAACAAATTTCGAACAGTTTTTTGTTCATTATATACAAAAAAAAAAGAATGAAAATACAATTTCATGCTTTAAGGTTAGACTAATATTATAATTTGAATTAAGTATATATAGCAAGCAATCAATGAAGCTTAAAAACAAGTTAAAAACTCATTTTACAAATCAAAAATTATAAAAGCAATTTTTCCTTATAAATTTTAAAATGTTTTTCCGGAGACAGATCGGTTACGTAATCGATTTTAATGCATAAATAAAACGGAAAATTAAATGATGAAAACAAGTTGTGAAAATGAAAAAAAAGCAAAAACTGCATTTATTGCAATCACATAATTTGGTCAACATTCTTCTTCTTTCTAGTTGAATTTTCTTATATATAGTATAAGTATAACTACTATATTCATTCATTGAATCAAACATACAAATTATATGGCATGTAGTAGACGCTCTAAAGCTGCAAAAAAAAAAATAAAAAATATTTCAAGTTTTCCAGTCAAGCGAATCCAAAATGTTGTTCCATAAAAAAATCGAAAAATAAAAAACATTACAAGAAAATAAGGAAAACGCATTTTCATTTTAAGAAATCTTCATTTTGCCAAATGGTCAAATTGAATGTTGTACAATGATTAAAACGTAATTGTAAGAGTATTAATATTGTATTATGGATATAGAGAGAGTTGAAATTTACGCTTGCGAAGTAAATGAGTTTTCTAGGTAAAGAGGAAGAGAATGCGCATAACAGGAAAAATATTTGTGTTATTATGTAACAAAATTCATTTAAATTGTTTGTTGAAATTTTCTTATCATTTGTTAATGATTTCCATACAAAAAATGTAATTAAAATTTACCAATTTATTATAATAAATTCAAATTTTACAATTACTTTGGCAAAAATTTAATTGAATTGTAAACTTTTATACCTTGTGGAATTGTAACTTTTATACCTTCTTGGATTGTAATATATTGAGCTTATAAGTAAATCTGTGATTATGTAAAGTATAATGAAACAAACTAGATGTAACATACTAATAAAAACAATAATTATAAGTGTATATGAACATACTTATATCTCTGTATTAACTAATTACAACCTCAAATAAGGTACTACAAAAGAAATACTAAAATACACATACACATACCCATGAACACAAAATCATTTTTCCATATTTGTTTGTGTATAATTAGTTTCGATTTTAATTTATTCTATCATCATACTCTCTATAAAGAACTAAAATAAATAACAAGAAAAATATCTAACAAAATTTATAGTGTGTATTCAATATTAGTAGTTCTTGAAAAAATATAAGTAACTACTTATAGCAAAATAAAATCAATTCGGCAATTTTCGGAGAAAATTAAGACGCCTTTAAAATATGAATGTTTGTTGGGTATACTATTTTATAGCTATTAGTATAGATTATTCAGACCCGAAATCATTAAAAGTTGAAAAAAAAAAAAATATTTGATATGCGTCTAAAACAGAGGAGGCGGAGCTGGTGGTCGGTCATCTCACTGGGCATTGCAGACTTGCACAAATTGAGTCAATCTGGAGTCCGTTTGTATAGATTTTGCTATAATAAAGATGAGACGGCTGAGCACATACTCTGCTTTTGTAAGGCATTAGCCAAAAACTAATTGTTTCATTTGGGGGGATACATGGTGGCACCCTCGCACTTGTGGTAAATGGCGCTTGGACGAATTAATAATTACGTGTGAATTATCGCTGTTTTTTTATAAATGGTAGGATGTTTTGATAAGTGTGTAAGACTGCAGTAACCTGCTCTAAAGTTAAACCCTGCCTATTTGATATACGAATCTAATTTAATCTAATTTAAAAATTCAATATTCTAAAAGACATTTGATGATTTTTCCAGATCTTTTTTTTTATACGACATTTTTCGAGGCATCGGCAATTTAAGGGACCGATTTTTAAAATATTTACGGAATAAAACTTATAAAGTTCGTGAAGTTAATCAAAATACCCACCGATTTTAAATGAACATGTTTTATTGAACTATTTTTTATTTTATTAAAAGAAGCAGAAGAAACTAGAAGATATTTAGTTCAAAATATTTTTCGGGACTCAAGCTTTAATTTTTCTAAATTGATTTTTCCCATATAGCTAATCTAATTTTTGTTCGGAAATTTATTCAACAATAATTTAATAAAGCCCTGACAATAATTATAATCAACTGTATTAAATGGTATAATATTGCATATTCGAACAAAATATGAATTTTAGTAACTTGAGGATATTTTTCTAATATCCAATAACGAAATTAACACTGTTCTAGCTTAATTGTATTCAATTGAATTTATTATATGCGCATTATTCGTTTATGTAATTATTTATACCTTATGGTAGTAATTATAGAATCCGGTGCTTAGAATTAGTTTTTCAAAAAAAATATACAAAACATTTTAATATTAACTACAAATTATGTTGGTGTTAGTCTTACTTTATACGGAAATAAATTAGGAATTATGTAAAGATTATACATGCATAATGTCAATTTAACAATAATGTAAATGTAAATGTGTATATATACAAAATGTTATATATGGATTTAATATTAAAAATACCTGTTGAATGTTTACCTAATAATACTTCTATACATGCTTAAAAGTTATAACAGAATGCAATTTTAAAAAATTCAAAATATTAACATGACATTGAAGATGATCTCTTAATGAAATGCTCGTGCAGTATAATGGAAATTCTATTATTTTATTTACACTTCATATTGCACATCTAGCACAAGCGCAGGAATTCATATATATCGATCTTGATTTCTTGCTGAGGAGCAATCTTTGCGATATTCAAATTGTTTAAAATTAGTTGATCTCAAATTATTTAAACGTTTCTATAAGGCGTCATTTTAATTTTTATGTATTAACAATATTTTTATATATTATGCAAAAATTCACAATTAATCATTTTGAATACTTTGCCCACACATACATAGGAGCTTAATTTCAATATTTATTTACTTGTGAATATTATATACTATAGTCTTTTTGCAGGTGTACGACATTGCATATAAAGCGATAATTACATACATTTCATATTTGTTTTGGTTTTGGTATCTTATTTTGTTATTGATCATCTTATAAAACAAAAAAAAACAAAAAGATATTTTAATAGGATATTGTTGCCATTTTTGATTTTTTTTTTATTGTGTGGTTGTTAGTTATAATTACTAATTTATCTTAGAAATACATACCTATATACGAGTACATAACTACTTACATATAATATGTAAACATATTACGCTATAAATATTTCATTACTTTTATATAAAGTGTAGAAATTTTAAGGCTTGAACTTTATAAATACATTTTGTATATAAAGTATTGCGGGTGTTAAATTTAATGTGCAAAAATGATCATGTGCGCAACCATTTTTTATTGCTATACCATTAACTTTGGAATTTTGTATTGTGGCTCTTCATTTTTATTTTATTTAAAATTAAAAAATAAATATTATTCTTTTATTTAGAATTCGTTCTTTAACTTAAAATAGAAAGAAAAAATGTTGTGCGTCGTGCTTAAAATGCTAATTAAAGAATATTTTAAAATTAAAATTCTAAGAGTAGGCGAAAAAATTGCAAATTTTATAATTATTTTTATCAATTTTGATATTATCGGAATTCTTTTCTATTGAGTGAGCATATTATAATCATCTAACGCCTATAACATTCTCACTAGTAAAATATATTAATAAATTTTTTATATGAAAAATAATTGTTACAAAGTTTTGTACTTTTAAATTTTGCAGAAGATTAAGATTATCTTTTTATTCTTCTCATTAATGATTCTTATAAGAACACCTTGAAAACCTTGAAGGAATGTTGTTTTTTATTATATTGGAAATACATGTGAGTATTAATCGAGGTGTTGTTAAAATGGTAGGTA